CCCCCCAATGTCACCTCTGACTACAGTAATGATGCAGGAGGAACCACGGCGCACAGCAGGGGATATAGGTATTCCACACTCCTGAAAGTACAAAAAATTAAGATTCTGCCATAGGCAGTACAGCTTGAGAGACTGGAGTTTACACACTAGGCGTACCAATCGCCTGAGAGGTAAATATTAATTGCCTTCTATTGTAGAAGCTAGACTTTTCATTTTTGTTTTAAAGTGACATTCTAAATAGGAGTTATCACAAGCCCAGGTCAAAGTAAAGATTACTTTGTTTACATTCATTCTGTCAGCAGTATACAACAGTAAATTGCTAAGAGCAGCTATCTGTGTGATTCACTGTCTTCAATGCCAACAGACATTAAAACTAGAATTATGGGGAGAGTGAAATGCACTCACCCCAATAGTTAGGGCCGACGTGCGACACTGAAGCTGTCACACATCGCCTCTATAGAATGGGAACTGAGCGATCACATACAACTGATCACTCAGTTCACAATCTTCTCCCTGCAGAGACGGCTGAATGTCAGTCACCGCTCCCTGCAGGGATTTCCCCCCTCCGCTTTGTTCCTCCAGCGCTCATTAGAGGGGACAGATGAAGGGGGCGGACAGAGCTGGTTCTACCTCTACAGAGGCAGAGCCAGCTGTCAATCAGGCAGCAGGGTGGATCCTGACAATATTGTCAAGATCCGCCCTGGCTGCAGCACGGTGCTGTCAGCATATAGCGGGCAATAGCCAGCTATATGAGTTTTGGGTCACAGTAGGACATTAGTATATGTACTCGTGTGACCCAAAGAAATAACACCAAAAAAGGTTTTAAAGGCCTGATCACACTAGCCCACCCGCCAAAACACTGCATTTTAAATGGACAGGCTAGTGCCCTGTGGTAGCTCTGGCAGTAAGCATTGTATCGCACATTGTCGGAGGTGTCACTGTTTACATGCATTTTTTATTTTATGTGGCGTGTATAATGTATACACTTCAATCAGGTCCCTGCACAACATCTGTAGCATGTCTGCATTTTTCCGCACCACACCGCCCATCACGACCACTCTTTCATGTGAATGGGACACATTGAAAACAATCATTGACTACGTGTCCATGCAGTGGCCTGCCTTAACCTCCCTGGCGGTATGATTTTTTTTCTTTTTTTAAACTTTTGAATCTCCCGCTGGTTCTAGCGGGAGGAGAGGAGACACAGGGTAAGTCAATGCATGCAGCCCGGCAGCGTGCACGCGGACAGACACTGTGGGACACAGAAGTCAGCGCTGCTACACATAGCTGCGTATGGAGCCGTATATTTGCGCAGCGTAAAAAACGTATTTTGCGCGCATAGACGCGTGTTTGCAAGCGTATACGCATACAGTTCATTAAAATTTCAATTACTAATGATGCATTCTGGGAGTGCATAGAGTGCACGCATATGCGTATATATAATTTTGCTCTCGCGTTGTGAGTGAATGAGGCCTTAATATCGCTTTAATCCGATGCAGTAAAAGGCAGTATGCATAAAGAGGTCTTATAAATTTGTTTTAGTCCAGCACTGCACACATGGAGAAATAGCTGACAAGCAGCTAGAAGCATGCATCTTCTACATAAGTTAAGCTCAGACCTACCAGTCCCCCATCACATGTAGTGAAAAACGTAATGTACATATAGAGGGATCCTTCCCTACTCTTCCTTCTGGTCTGGTACATGCTGATCTATAACAGTGTAGCTCGCTTCAATATATTTTCATTACTATGGTTGAAATCGGTCATCAATTTGACCTCAGTTAATATTACAAAAAAATCAAACAAAATGTGCAAAGGAGATTGTACTGGTGTATGTCCAGCTTGAGCATTTACATCTACCTAAACTTTTGGATCAGCATTGCTCTGCACATCATAGATGGAGTCTGCAGTTACTAGAGCTACAGGCAAGCACATGACATCCAGAGACACTGTACTATACACAAGACATTCATTCACAGGTGACGATGCATGCAGATCGATGAAATAATAGAAGCGATTAGAATAAACCCAAAGCCTCTGCTGAGTGCAATGGACACATGCAGGACACTGCTCCAGTGATCAGTGTGCACAGCCTGTCAGACCTATGGCCACACACTAACCAAACCTCGTACAGTCATCAGCTGTGGGCAGGAAGAGCCAGCAAGGCACCGGCGATGACGCCGGGGATACAAGGATTTCTCAGTGAATGTGAACAATGCTGATGCTTTCAAGCCATGCTCCCACAATGCACTGCGGATAAACAATCCTCACTAGAAAGGCACCTAGATAACAATGGCGGTGTGACCACCAGGGATCTCCCTAGGATACACTGGCGGCGGTCATTGAACAGGCTCCCCTGGCATATCAGCCTGTCACAGCCAGCGGCGCTCCCCTGTCATTTATCTCTATGGCATTTACCTCGCACTTCGATAGCAGCCGCTTCCCAGCAAAGCAAAAAGGGGCCTCGGTGACGTCAGGGTCACGTGACCGGGCCTTACGTCGCCGCGTCACGTGAGCCTTCCACGTTGAGTGGCTGGAGAGAAGTGGCGCCAGAATTGAACGCGAAGGGTGGGTTGAGGTGTACGGAGGGGAGGCTGTCGATGAGTTTAGTACGGATGGCGACTGATTCGCTGTAAACATGCCTCAGCTACGTATACGGGGCTCAAGAGAGTTTACTAGGCTCCGACAGACTCGCTACACGGAGTGAGCCGGAACATTAATCCCAGCAGGCAGGGCGCTCTTCATTAGAGCAGCTGGGACTGTTGTTGCTAGGATAATGCAGACTGACTCCGCTAATAGTCTCCCTGACAAGTCCTTCTAGCGGAGGCACACAGTGACTTCCGTCCGCGCACCACAAATCCTTCCGCCGCTTGTGTCTGTGTGTCCTTCCACACTGACAGTCAACACGCACAGAGCTAGAGGAGACGTTCTAATGTTTTATTATTAAACAGTGCGATCTCCTTTCAGCTGTATAGATGCCTGCACTGGGCATGTCATCTCCCTGCCTCCAGGTCATGCTGCTACCTCTGCAAGGGTAAGCTGTGAAAGTGGGCGTGGCCTTCTGCAGCATTAAAATCATCTCCGCCCCCTTTGTTCGCCCCCTGCTTCTGGCTACACATCCCAGAATGCTGTGCGGCTCTAGGAAGTGCTGTGCAGGCATCGCTGGAATGTTTATAGTTGGAGCACAGTGCTCTAGCCATATACAGCTTTAGATCAGAGGTAGTGTGGATGACATCAGAGTGAAATGGTAAGGATGTTCATTGGGAATGCCTGCTGTTTGCAAACTCATTGCTCAACTTTTTTAAACTATCAGCATGTCATTCTTTGGGACAAACTATTTGTGAGACACAACGTGAGGGTTTCATTAAATGTGTCCGAGACAGACTTTGTCTTAACTGGAGTGCAGCCAAGCAATTTCTATATTTTCTTTTTCTAAGCTGTGTGGAGAAAAAAAAGGAAATCTAGAATCTGATTGGTGTCTATGGGCAACTACACTCACTAAAAGTACTCAGACACTTGTTATTAAGTCCCCCAATATTTCTGTTTATCATCATCATCTTATATCAAAATAATTTTCACTCCACAATACAACTATTGGGTAAAGTGGCCACATCTTTGCATTAAACGGTATGTGTTTGCAAACAATTCACAATATGGGGAAAGGTAATAGAGAATGTCCCATGTATGGAGCAGTGGATTGGCTGGCAGGAACTATAGCCTGAATCTCAGTGTGTGGGAAATACTCATTACCCCGGCTTGAAAAATTTTAGGGTGTCTCACAAGTCAGTAAAAAATTTCACGGACGAGAGGATTTTCAAGCCCTGCTCATTAGAAATCTGTCTCGCATTAGTGCAACAAATGACAGAACCTGCGACAGATTCATGTATGTAACTTCCAAAACCTGTAGCACACCTTACCTAAATTCCCATCACTGATTGCGGGTGCTCGTAATGACCACGGATGGCGCCGTCCTCAATATAGCAAATACAAAAAAACATCACCGGCACGATACAGATCCATATGTCAGTGCAAAGAATCAATTTATTGATGCTAACAAATACTCAGAGTAACATCAAGCGCTTTCGGGGCCGCGCAGGGTCCCCTTCATCAGGCTCCGAGTCAAATTTACTCTGAGCCTGATGAAGGGGACCCTGCGTGGCCCCGAAAGCGCTTAATGTTACTCTTGAGTATTTGTGAGCATCAATAAATGGATTCTTTGCACTGATATATGGATCTGTATCGTGTTGGAGTGCTGGTGACATTTTCCTGCATTTGCTAGATTCATGTATGTGTCATAAGGTGTACTTGACACTGACAGAACTGTTGCAAGCATCTCCTACAAACTGACAAGAGTTTTACAGGCAGAGAAGCTGTATGGAGAGTAAAGTTGGCCATACACTGTAATATATATTTTGTTTAACCTGCGGGCTGAACAAAGAGAATGTAACAGATGCCTCCATCAACGCTCATCAGCTCCTGCTGTTTTCATTGAACTCTGATGGCGGCTGCCGGCCGCTGTCGGAGTACCCAAACAAAGCCAGCAGCTCTTTGGTTGCCGGTGTTCTATCAAAGTTTGTGATTACATTGGAATGTGTGACAAGTGACACGGTCACACATTCCATCGTAATCCCGCCCACTTTGACAGCGGTAGAATGCGTAATCGGCTTACTGCGCATGTGTGGGGACAGCTGATCGGTCTTAAAATTTCACGGCCGAGTTGCCGCTACCACACTTGCGTGGCTATTGCGGCAGTGTTTAAAAATTAAAATTCAAACGAAGTATATGTTCAATCAATGATAAAGATAATAATACAATTATTGGGGGTATTTTCATAAAATGTATATTACTTCTATTTAACTTCATAATTTTATTAAAATACCCCCATTAATTGTATTATTATGTTTATTATCGATTGAACATATACTTCGTTTGAATTTTTAAACATAGCCGCACAAGCGCGATAGCAGCAACTCGGCCGTGAAATTTTATGACCGATCGGCTCACTTTACATGTGCGGGAACAGCTGACACAGCGGCACCCACTGTGCAAGTTTTGTCTGATTCATCAAGAACTGGCTGAAATTCGCATAGTGTATGGCCATCTTAATGGACACTGATCAAATATACGTTCTAGAGCAACTGGACAAATAACCTTACATAATTAGGATGAGAAAAAAAAACCAAGTCCATCGAGTTCAACCTATCGAGATAAGCGGAGAAAGAAAAAATAAAAACCTAAAACAGAACGCTATGCCCACCCACTAACCACTGTTGGTCCAGAGGTGGCCGCCAGCGACTAGTCAATGTTAGGGCAGAACGGAGAGTGGCAAGACTGGTACAAGACAACAGTGCAGTGTCAGATTCCTCGCATCACCTTTCAACATCTCGTGGAGTCACGAGGCGGCCCAACGAAGTACTGATGGGGTGGTCATAATAATATGGCCACTCAGTGTATATATA